TTCAGGACACTGAGGCAGCCATGACAGCGCAACTAAAGAGACTCACAAAAGAGGACTTCCAGAACTGCTTCAGAAAGTGGCAAGAATGATGGCATAAGTGTATTCAAAGTGAGGGAGAGTATTTTGAGGGGACTTAATGGCAATGTGTCTTTTACTGTAATAAATTTTTTTTAATTTAAGCATTCACATATTGTTCAGTCACATCTTGTGTTGATGTGTCTTTCATTCATACTTCTGTCCTTTTGGGTTGTACATTTAAAAAAAAAATCCCTTGACTGTCATTTCAGTGTGATTTTAAGATGCAGGGTCTATGGTTGGTCTGCCCTGTTTGACCAGAAATCCAGGAACCATTTGTTCATTGATGTCTCTCCAATTCGTGGCATATCTTAGGTTCCTAAATAAATATTTGATGAATATTTGAAAAATATTTGAATGAATAATTGAATAAATTGCGTTAGAAATTTTTGTAGTGATTGGAGGCTTTGATGGCAGAAAAATATTTTATATATATATATATGTGTGTATATATATATACATATATATATATATATATGTATATATATATATATATATATAACAACCTAAAAAGCATCTTTTAAATGGCTCTATTTATTCCATTTTTTGTTTTTCTTTGTCACCTTGGTTAAGGAAACTAAGTGTTTTAAAGTATCTCTTTCAACAAAATGAAAAGGCAACTTATTGAAGGGAGAAAATATTTGCAAATCATGTATCTGATAAAGGGTTACTATTCAAAATATATAAAGAACTCATATAACTCAATGGAAAAAAACCCAAACAATCCAATTAAAAAAAAAAAAAAGGTGGAAGATCTGAATAGGCGTATTTCCAAAGAGGACATACAGATGGCCAACAAGTACATGAAAAGATGCTCAACATCACTAATTATTGGGGAAATGCAAATGAATACCACAATAAGATATCACCTCACACTTGTTACAATATTACCAAAAAGACAAGAAATCAGTGCTGGCAAGGATGTGGAAAAAAAGGAAGCCTTGTGCCATATTGGTGGGAATGTAAATTGGTATAACCACTGTGAAAACCAGTAGGGAGGCTCCTGAAAAAATTAAAGAGAGAACTACGATATGACCCACCAATTCCATTTCTGAATATTCATCCAAGGAAATTGATAATACTAACTTGAAAAGATATCTNCACCAGTGCGACTTCTGGCTCTTCCCCAAAGTCAAAATGATTCAGGACATGGAGGCAGCCATGACAGCGCAACTAAAGAGACTCACAAAAGAGGACTTCCAGAACTGCTTCAGAAAGTGGCAAGAATGATGGCATAAGTGTATTTAAAGTGAGGGAGAGTATTTTGAGGGGGCTTAATGGCAATGTGTCTTTTACTGTAATAATTTTTTTTAAATTTAAGCATTCACATATTGTTCAGTCACATCTTGTGTTGATGTGTCTTTCATTCATACTTCTGTCCTTTTGGGTTGTACATTTAAAAAAAAATCCCTTGACTGTCATTTCAGTGTGATTTTAAGATGCAGGGTCTATGGTTGGTCTGCCCCGTTTGACCAGAAATCCAGGTGTTCATTGATGTCTCTCCAATTCGGGGCATATCCTAGGTTCCTAAATAAATATTTGATGAATATTTGACAAATATTTGAATGAATAATTGAATAAATTGTGTTAGAAGTGTTTGTAGTGATTGGGGGCTTTGATGGCAGAAAAAGATTATGATTATATATATATATATATATATATATATATATATATATATATATCAACCTAAAAAGCATCTTTTAAATGGCTCTATTCCATTTTTTGTTTTTCTTTGTCACCTTGGTGTAAGTGTTTTAAAGTATCTCTTTCAACAAAATGGAAAGGCAACTTATTGAAGGGAGAAACTATTTGCAAATCATGTATCTGATAAAGGGTTACTATTCAAAATATATAAAGAACTCATATAACTCAAGGGAAAGAAACCCCAAACAATCCAATTAAAAAAAAATGGGTGGAAGATCTGAATAGGCGTATTTCCAAAGAGGACATACAGATGGCCAACAAGTACATGAAAAGATGCTCAACATCACTAATTATCGGGGAAATGCAAATGAAAACCACAATGAGATATCACCTCACACCTGTTACAATATTACCAAAAAGACAAGAAATCAGTGCTGGCAAGGATGTGGAAAAGAAGGAAGCCTCGTGCCATATTGGTGGGAATGTAAATTGGTATAACCACTGTGAAAACCAGTAGGGAGGCTCCTGAAAAAATTAAAGAGAGAACTACGATATGACCC